TTCAGGCGGGATTTTGAAAAGGCTTCTTGTTCGGATGCCTTGAACGGGGTCTAGAGTTGGGGCTCGGGTTCTGAGTGACAGGTACCTGCGGTTTGGATGTTGGGCACAATGGTCGGTGCAGGCCGGGGGGGGGGACACTACTGGAAGGTACCACATTAACAGCCAACCCCCTGGAAGCACACACCTTCTGGGCCCTAAGATGCAAAACACAAAGCCCATCAGCTTCTTGCTGTTCGAAGCATACTCCAAGCAGGGACTTAGAACCGTTTTCTCTATGTTGCTTCATTCGTCGTGGCGCAGAATAAGCTTTTAGACTTGCTTTGTACATGCCAGCGCCACTGCCAAAACGAGCGTCACAGAATACACGTGCATGGAATTGCCGAGCTGAGACACACTGTAGTCAAAATTGTCCACGGGCATTGAAGCTGCTGAAGCAACGGCTTGCACTCTGGGCCACCCCATGGCGAGAGCCAACTCACTCTCCAGCATCCATCTCTTCTTTGCAGGGCTCCAAAGAATGTTTCCGCTGGCTCGAAGTGTAGGCATGTAGCGGAAAGTGCCTGGTCTCACAAGCGGGTCCTGCGCCAAGTTCATAAGCAGGTCATCAGGGAACAATGCTGGTGGATGTTCCAAGCCACTGCTCGACGTCCAACAATGTATGTAGTTCTTGAGGTACTGGCGCTGCTTGTCCGTGAGCAGATAACTCCAATCATCGCTTGCCTGCGTCAGCGGATGCAACCCTCGCTTCTTCCTTGCTTTGTTCTCACACTGCAAACGTTCCTCATCAGACGTTACAGCCATGCATGCGGACACTTGCGAGCACCCAACTCTCTTGTTGATGTATTCCGAAGCTGCATGTAAAACACGCAACATGTCATGCGTGATGACCAAGTCTTTCCGCACCAGTACGGCAAACTGGCGAGGGCGACCAGCGAAGACAAATCCAGCATCGCCAGGCTTGACAGGCAGGATGATGACACTGTACAGCGAACCCACACATGTGGTGATGATAGAGCTATCAAACCCAACCACATTCTCATGTATGGCGACTGCTGGCTGTGCATGCAACAGCCAGCACAGCCACGCCAAGGTAACGTCGCTGCGTCGATCGTTTCCTCCAAGTTTTTTGCCACATCTGGACCATGGTTGGCAAGGAGTTCCTGCCACGTTCAGGGTTGATTTCTTCTGTCTGCACAAACCTCCGTGCGCTCGGCACTTCAGCTTGATGTTCCCCTGCCATGCCGAGCACAAAGCCTCCCACCGCTCCTGAATTGTCGGAGCCGGCCCCAACTTGGAATCCCAGCTGGCGGGAACAGACTCAAAGATGTCCATGAAAATGCAACAGTCATCTGGGACTTTCTTCTTCAAAATGTCAATGCATTTCGCGTTGATCTCACAAACCGAAGCCTGCTGCCACTGTTTGGGCCATCCCAGCACAGCCTCCAGCGAAGCTTCAAGGACATGGTAAGCTTGCTCTGCGGAGGCGATGCCGGAGCACTGGGAAGAGAACAAATGCAGCCAGTTCAAAGAGCTCTGTCTCCTCAGATATTGCTCGGCATGCTAACTCAAGATCTTCGTATCCATACGGGTCCGGGACCCAAAGGCTTACTGACAAGAGTAGACTATCCGACTCATGCTTCACATACCCCTAAATGTTCAATGCAGAGTTGCAAGTGGTGCTCCCCGAAGCTCTGCTGCAAGAACTCCACCATGAAGACTCCAGCACGAAATGCACTGACAAGGGTGCTGATGCGCTCGTCAGTCGCGACGGTATCACCAGCACTACAATCACAATCAGCACCATTCAACTCTGCATCGGGGTCTGTTACGACGGACATGGATGACCCACTTGACATTGACTCTTCGAAGAAGATGCCGCCATCTGCATCGCTGCAGATTTCCTGCTGTAGGCATTCCGGAGACTCAGCTGTGACGACGACATCCATCTCCGTGTTCACGCCATTGACGCTGGGATCGATGTCGAGTTCCCACTGGCATCCTTCAGCCGACCCGGTGCTGCTGGCGTCAGAACAGTCGAACACAACACCCTCCATGGGCGCTCGTCACACACTCTGGGGCACAGGGCCAAGTTTACCAAGTGAATCATTGGGCTTCCTGCTTTGGGCTTACGGCTGAGAAGGATGTCAGGGTATACAGAAAGAAGATGTTAAAAGAAGGCTGTGGACAGATGTGATGTTGCTCGCCATGTCGAGATCATAATGAAGCTGCACCACATGGGAACTCATAAATTTTCAGGCTTTGCTACACAGCCACACTTGTCAGGCCACGCAAAGAACATGAGATAACCCTCCCGCGGCCCGCAAGCCATGCAAAACTAAGCCAGTGTGTTCCAGAATCCACCCTCTCAACACCATTACTCACGAAGCCGCTTAAAGCCTAAACCTCAGCCGCCTTGTAGAGGGTGCTCCTGTGCAACCTCTGCCGTTCCGATGTCCGCCAACTCTGCCTCCGGACGGTCCAACAGTTCCCCTTCCCCGGTCTGCAGTTATGGGTTTGACAGATTGCAGGCTAGTTTCGGGCTGGTGGTTTTGTTCAGTTTAGGAATTGAAACTGCAAGGTAACAGGTAGACCTTGGACCTTAGGGAGCCCTCGGGGTGTAGGATTGAAAGATCGGTGTTCAGCTTCATGCTCGATCATTGGGTCAGGGACTTCGGCTTAATTCGAAGAATTCAACCACTTCCGTGGGCATTCAAGCAGAGCGATGTTTTCACCAGCAGACACCCCACTGCTAGCGGCACTTTCTCAACTTTGCTACTGATACTGAATTTAGGTCTCGCCGACCTTCACATTGCTTCCAGGAGCCCAGAGGCGTTGACGCTGGACCTGCCATTTCTTGCCTTCTTCACTGACCAGCCAATCATCCAATCTCGCCTGGATTGTCGATGGAGCTGCTTTGCCAGCACTCTTTCGCTGAACTGACACACCCATCGGTAATGCTGCCACAACTCCGGAGGCCAAAACCTTCACCCAGGAATCATGGATAGTCTGAGGCACATTGGAAGGAAGCCCACTTGCTAGAGCGTCCTTGGCCAACTGTCGCACGGCTTGGCCGGACTTTGCCCGCTGTAAGACACTGTCAGGCTCGATCAGGGATAAGGCGTCATGGCCCTGGCATCCATCGAAGAAACTGCTGTGCCAGCGACCCGAGTTCTCAATGCGCGCATGCAGTGCTTGAACCTGACTCAGCTCTTTTGGTCTTGAAGTTTTTTTCAGCCTGGCATGTGTCCTCTCCAGAAGGTGGACAACCGCACGAACGAGAAGCTCATCTCTGCTGTGCCCTGTGACTGAGACATGCGCCTGCTGCAACATCACACGCACCATGAGGGTCTCCTTGCTTCTTTCACACTACTAGGCAGGGCAATAAAAAGCTGAAGTTTCTTGCTGTTGTAAAGAAGGCAAAACAAGTGTAAAGCTCCGTTGTTATTGAATAAGTACAAGTCTCTGGGGAAGCATGCTGATTATCACACCACAGGTTGGACATCATGGAGCCGACCCTTTCCACAGCAGCTTCTGGAGCTGAAAAAAGACGCCAACGATGGTGGACTCTGCAAGCGTGCCAGGAGTGGGGCGAATGCGAGTCTCCGAGGCTGAACCATGGGTCTGTATCCAAAGATGCCGCGATGCATGACGGGTCGACCTTGCGCAAAGGCTCTTCGAGAATGACAAGCTTGCCCTTTAGGTTCCGTGGGGCCTGAAGGACGCCCACTCGACATGAATCTGAACCTGAATCTGCCTCAACATTCATCCGTCTCTTGCTTGTGCAGGGCCCGATGTACTTTCGCACTGCTCGCACAGAAACCTCGAATCTCCGGGTATCCTGTTTTGTGAGCCGGTGCCCATTCCAAGATCCCAAGAATTGCGAGACTGTGCAGGCAACATAAGCCATTGCTGGGCTGTTGCCAGGCAGACGGAGAGCTTTGCCCAAAGTCCAACGAAGTCCAGGGAAACTGTTCACTGGACTGACCATGTAACCAGAAATGGAGGACCAGCTCATTGCTTTGCGCAAGGTTTGCGCTGGCACGCCACTGTTTCCGTTCATCTCCAAAGTGTCCTCATAGCATTGACCTTACACAGCTGTGCTAGTCTGTGAAGTTTCACGCTCCCGTCTCTAACTGCGGGCTAGGCCCCATTATTATTTATTATTATTATTATTATTATTATTATTATTATTATTATTATTATTATTATTATCATTATTATTATTGTTATTATTGTTATTACTATTATAGTGTTATTATTATTATTACCATGCGCTTCTCGGTCTCAGCAAGTGGCGGACTCTGGACACCAGCAGCTCGTATTGCTGCGTGAACTCCCGCTTCTGCAAGGACCATGTCTGGGGCACCTTCTGGAAAGCATCGCCGTGGGGCCATCGACCCTTGGCAAGATAAGGCTTGAACATCTCCACGAGTCGGCCAAATGCTGTTAGGCATGCTCGGGTGGGCGGTTGAGCCAATAAGCTCGTCCAATCAAAAGCCACCTCCCCAGCACGCAGTAGGGAAAGCATGTCGGAATTCATCCCAACATCCGAGAAGATGTCATCCACCTCTTCTTTCGCGTACTTCAAGAATTCCATGAGTGCCTCAATCGCCTGTACACATGCAGCATGAGCTTGGAACACCCCGTTCGGCACCTGGCACCGGCTCCCAAGCCAGTTAGCTCGCGGGAGGCGTGGTCGAAACATGTCTGAGTAGTCCATCCCAAGCACGGAGTTCTTTGTGGTGTCGCGTAGCTGCTGCCTTGGGCAAAAGAAACTGGCATCCTTCTGGATTTCAAGCATGGTCCACAATGGCACACTCACTGTCTTCTGCACGCGACGGCCCCGCCGAAAAACATAGATCTTGGTCTTGACTCTTCTGATCTCCGGCACTGCTCGCCGCCTGGCCCTTCGGCAGTGTTCTTCCGCGGCCAAGCACTGACAATGACCTCCCAAGCTCATCATGCCAGGGGCAAGCTGCGCGTTCAATTGCAGTTTGCAACCCTGAAATTCTGGAGGAATGTTGAACAGCACCTTGCTGGCATGCAAGATAAAGGATCTGACCGGTTTGCCCCACGATGTATATCGACACGCAGACATCAAGCGCGCCAACTCTTTAGAGGACACATATTGTCTGCAGCAGGCCACTGCGCCAAGCATGATTTTGACTTTGGCAAAAGATTCCTGCATTGTCTCCAGAGCAGCTTCCATATTACGTCTGGCTTTCTCTACCACAGATGCCTCTTCCGCTTTCTGGACGATCAGTGCGAAGGGCCGGACAATCTTCAGCAGTGCCACGTCGAACCCGACCAAAAAGAACACGAAGGAGGGCTCTTGAAGACGCCGGCCGACTTCAAAGAGGCTGGTCAGCGAAACATTGCCTTTGCCCTCTTTCTTCCATGCGACTTTACCATGAAGACATAGAAGAACAATCTGGTAGTTCGAAATCAAACCACCTGGAGCTCCGCTCAGGTACACGACCTTCCGGGTCCCTCCGGGGCCCCTCAAACTGGCTCCGGTGGCTCCCACTCTCCTGAACTGCAAGCAGCAGAAAGGTTAGCAGCCTTCATGTTGTTTGTTTTTGGCGTCAGTGCTGTCGGGCATGTTCAGGGCTCTTTCTACTTTACGCAAGTGGCGGCCCTCGAGCATTCTACCGTATTGGTGTTTATGGATGCTCTGAAAATCTCTAAGGCCCATGACTATGGATTGGCACTAAAGAGCTACATCTGCCGAAGCTCTTGGACGCTGCACGTTTTAACACTTTGCCTTCCCCCACGTTGAACAGTCGATCGCAGGACGCTGCCACGTCGAAGCATTCGCTTGCAGGAGGTGACCGACGAACTGCTCGCATGATTGCATTGTCGATCCTACTCGAAGTGGCTATTGAAGAATAAATACATTGGACTTAAGATTACTCACAAAAAACAAAGCCCTAAATTCCTCGACAGCACCTCTGGCTACTTGTTTAAGACCCCGTGCCTGTGAAAGTCGTCCCAACGTGTGCACACGACCAAAGAGTCGGGCTCAGCCTCTGGATGCACGCGCTGCCAGAGCAACTCGGCGGCACCGCCACTGGAATGTCGGGCTTGCGCACCCCCTTTCACTATTTGCCCGTCACCATCAATCATGGCCAATCGAGCCTTCAAGATGGGCAGATCCAGCATACTGGGATGTTGCGATAGCATCTCCAGAAGCTGTCGTGTCGTCTCAGAGCCGCTGTGGCATCCAATTCCGAGCGTTCGGTAGTCCAGCATCGGGGTTACAAGAGAGCCATCCTCTGCGCTGACGATGGTCAGATTGGCGACTAGGACTGTTTCGTTGCGGGGAAAGGCACTGCACTTTCCTAATGAAACTGGGTCGGCCATGACAGCGAAATCAGATTCAATTCCCAAGCCTCCGAGAACAGAGCACCAATCGTTGGCGTTCATCATATGCAAAACCTGATTTGTCAAGTATTCTACCTCCACGCAGAACTTGCGTGAGTGGCACATCGCGCCGTCCACATCCACGCCACAAAGCCGGAGCCGTGCCACTTCACGCTCGAAGGATGTTCTCGACTGCCCTTCCACAGCACAGCCGATGGCAGTTCGGACGCAAACCGTGGCGCTCTTCCTCCACCGGGATTCCTCCGTATCCACAGCGTGCGATGGCCTGCTTGGCTGCCACCGGGATTCCTCCGTATCCACCGTGTGCGATGGCTTGCTTGGCTGCAGTTTCCGCTCTGGATGTAATGGTTCACGATGAATGGGCGTCCAACCATTGGCTTCCACATCCCTCCAGCATCTTGAAACTGTTTGCCGTGACAGTCCCAGCAGGTTAGCTGCCAGCACTTCTGTGTATGACTTGCCAGTGCTGCCCTTGATGTCAGTAAACCCGCAGAGCATATCCTTTGTCAGCTGCTTCGGAAGCTTCTTGATATTTGCAACCGTGTTAACTATCAGCACCTGTGCCTGCTGGAGAGCAGGGCTCAGCGAACATATGGTCGAGCCACAGTTCATTCCTGGGACCCACTCGTTGGACTCCAAGCTGACATTGTCAAGGCCATCCTCGAAGGACACACCAGGATGGCCATCCATGTCAATCTGGCACGGCGGCATTTCGAAAGCAACGCCCGATGCTTCCGTGTCGCACGCAGATTCAGCAAGGTCTTGCCCAAGTTCCATGACGACCTCATCGTCGCTATGCACCAGCTCCCACTGCAGGCCGCAAGGGCTGCCGTGCTCTGACTCTCCACCCATGTCGCAGAAACACGTTCCCCTCAACACAGTCGCACTACCTATAGGCCTATATGGTTCAGCTTGGTTTGATTTTAATCTCACTGCATCAGTCCACAGCCACTTTGTCATGACACCTCTTGCCTGTCAGTCATGTAGAATGAAAAAGCAGCAATCATTCGACACCACTGCGGATGAGAGCCCACAACGACATGGTCAACGGACATGAGACTCGAAGTACAGCAGAAGCAAACGTCCCTCTGGGGCATGCAGCAAGAGTTTTGGGGTTACCTCCGGACCGTCCCGCCTGCCATATTGATGATGATGCCACGGCCGTTTGCACCTGGCGTGCTGTTGCTGACCCTGTGCTCTTGTCACTTACACTTCGGCATTTCCCGCAGAAGCAAACGTCCCTCTGGGGCATGCAGCAAGAGTTTTGGGGTTACCTCCGGACCGTCCCGCCTGCCATATTGATGATGATGCCACGGCCGTTTGCACCTGGCGTGCTGTTGCTGACCCTGTGCTCTTGTCACTTACACTTCGGCATTTCCCGCAGAAGCAAACGTCCCTCTGGGGCATGCAGCAAGAGTTTTGGGGTTACCTCCGGACCGTCCCGCCTGCCATATTGATGATGATGCCACGGCCGTTTGCACCTGGCGTGCTGTTGCTGACCCTGTGCTCTTGTCACTTACACTTCGGCATGTCCCGCAGAAGCAAACGTCCCTCTGGGGCATGCAGCAAGAGTTTTGGGGTTACCTCCGGACCGTCCCGCCTGCCATATTGATGATGATGCCACGACCGTTTGCACCTGGCGTGCTGTTGCTGACCCTTTGCTCTTGTCAATTACTTACACTTCGGCATTGCCCTAATCTTGACGAAGCTGGCCTTTCGGAAACGGCAATCCTACCCTACACAGTAAAACCGTAACCCTGCACCGTGAACCTAGTCGGTACATGAGTCGGATAGAGACTGCATTCTCACATCAACAAGGTAAGCGGCTGTAGCGGTTTAACCCTATGACCTAGATACGAAGATATTCGGAGCCACGGACACCTTTCGACCCAACAACTGACAATTCAGGTCTCAAGCCCCAGACTCAAAGCAGGATGTCGAAGACCAGAGTTCACATTTTAAGCGGTCGTCCTCCATTCAATTGCTGAAAGCTTCACAATCCAGCAAAATGAACGAAGTCCATGACGGGTCTGAAGTCTGCGCATCCGAAAATGCCCTGCGCAGTCAGGCCACATGTGGATCGGTAGCAGTGACATAATTAGATTTCCAGATTGTGTTTAGATGCTCGGATGGTCCTGCGCTGGGCTGTACTGGACGCCTGTACTGAAAAGGAAAGGCGGAGGCTGTTGACTGCCGATGCTTCATAGCATAGACTGAGAAGAACAGCATGGTCAAACTGAACGCACGAATATCTCAGCCATGCCTAGAACCTCCACCTGAAAATGACTCGGGACAGCTCAGCTCCACTGGCTGTTTGGGAGAAACCGTTAAAAGCAGAGGCGGAGGCCGTTGACAGTGACTGCCAGTGCTTTATAGCTTAGACTGAGAAGAACAGCATAATCAAACTCAACTCACGAATATTCCGGCCTTGCCTAACATCTCAGCCTGAATCTCACTCAGGACAGCTCCAGTGGCTGCTTAGGAGAAACCGAGACCTGCTTCGCAAGCAAAATGGCCAGTCCGCAGGGGCAAAGCTTGGCTTCGCCATTCTGATTGAAGACCCAGACAACTTTGCATTGGCTCATGCTCATGGCCTTCTTCCTCAATTGAGAGCGGAAATCACAATCACACGCGTCTGCCCAGTCAAATTGCACTAAATATGAAAGTGCAAAGATAGACCACCAAAACCCTGAAGCTGTCTCTCTCTCTGTGCCTTTGTCCTCTCTCACCCTCTTGCTTTGCATCTCTTCCAAAACTAACCCCAACTTGAACTCAGCTAGGGTACACCACCAACTTGGCGTTCTCCTCAGTGGGCTCAAAGAACATGTCCTTGGAGCCCAGCGACACGGGCGGCACGCCAGGTGGGAAGGTCCCAGCATTGAGCACCTCTTTGGCTTTCTTACGGGTGATCAGGGCTGACAATGTCTCCACTTTGTCAAGGTCTGCGACATAGTCGATCTGCTTCTCCTTGCCGTCGGAGTCCTTCTTCGTCACCTTCAACGCAAAGATCACGGAGCACTTGTCTGCTTTGGGGAACATGTACAACATGTTCCCCGAGGTGTTGCCATCCTTGTTTTTTTTGATGTTGCCGTTGCCCACAAAGAGCAAGACACTGTTGGGCGACACTTTCTTGTTGCCCTTCGCGTCATCCTTCGCCGTGAGAATGAGCTTGATATCGTTGTTGTCTCCATGGATCATCCCGAAGTTGAAGATTTCCAAAGACTTCAAAATCGTCATGTTATTGCCGCCCTGCCCCTGCGCTTGCCCCGACCCTTGCTGCCCGTCCTTTGTATCCACAGGCTGGTCCGTGGTCGCAGCGTCCTTCTGCTTGTCATCATCCCCGCTCTGACACTGCTGTTGCTGCTTGAACAACTGATCCAGTCGCCCTTTGAAGCGTTTGGCTTCGGCTTCATCTTCTGCCCCATCCTGGCCGACACTGAAATCATAGTCCATCCCGTAGTTCAAGCATAGAAGTGTGCGAGATGAGATTCCAGTGTGGTTCCTGGTGCGCACACGAACAGCCACAAGTGTCGAAGACAAGCCATTACCACACATCGGCACGAGCTCCACATTCGCGCCTGCATTTCCCCGGAAATTGATTTGTCAAAACCCTCTCGGAAGAATCGGTCTGGGAGGGATGATGCACTGAAACGCTACACTGGAAATCTACGAATCCTGCAGAAGCTCACTCACGCTCAAAGCACGGCCTCGTTTGGACAGGCCCAAGTAATGCTGCAAGTAGGAAGCCGCACCTACAAGCGCTCCATACAAAGTTGCAGTCTCGTCGGCCGTGATCGGCATATTGTCCACGCGAATCAGGCCTCGGAATTAAACCCGGACTTCATTTACGTTGTCGCCAAAAGTCATCCTGTGAACATCTCAATGTGTGCAGGTCTGCATCCAAGACGCGGTCCAGGAGGACACTGTGGCCGGGTTGAGCCAAAAACTTTTTCAAGAGGTTCAGATCATCGAACCACAGGGCAGAGGCATGGCAAATGATGTCGCCATCTCGATAGCTTCTCGTGGTCTCGAGGCCTTTGCCGACACGAGCGCCAAGTCGCATTGGCCAAGCTCCTTGTGCAGCAGCTCGACACAGCGATCCTGGAGGTTCTCAGGCCAGGAGTTAAGCCCAGAAGGCCACGCAGCACCGTCCAGGCTGACCTCCTTGACAATGGTCATCTCGCCGTCGGGGACAGTGGCTCCGATGAAGGAAAGGCCACCCCGAGAAGCAGCACGCTTCACCCCCTGCTGCTTCCTGGCCTGCACAAGAAACCGCTGCGTCACCATCTGCCTCAACAACTCAGTCGCATGTCGCTGAGAGTGCTTCGAGGCAGCCTCCACCAAGCTGAAGACTTCAAGCCCGCATAGACGCCCCTCACAATGCGGAATGCGTCCGTGCCAAAACCCTAAACCCTACCCCCCCTAAGGGACTTAACTAGGGTAGTCCTAGTACTAGTAACTATAGTCGTTATCGCAGTATAGTAGTGGAGGATGTTGACAGAGAATGGGTGATTTGAGGACTCACCCATGCAACTCAAGAAACACACTGGCTCATAAGTCGAGATGCCGCAGCCGGAAAGCCTGGATGTGCTGACCGACTGATACACACCAGGTACTTGGCACTGGAAGCATGCGCCACCTGATCCAGAATGATTTTCCAATGTTGAATCGGCTTGGCGAAGGGCCACAGAGCAACTGTGTAATCTTTCTTTTTCTTGGCACTGCCGCCCTCCTCAACAACATCTTCCATCATCACAACTTCGTCTTCATCTTCCTGGATGTCCATGTCGGCATCGCAGTCTTCGTCCATGTCTTCGGGGGAGATCTCCTCGTGCAAGTCGGCTTCGTCCTTGTTTGCGGGGGCGTCGCGATGGCTGCATGTACGGCTCTTGCAGACCAGGCGAAGGCCCTCCCACGTGGAGGCCTTGACACTGTTCGCTTTGACCAGGACCGGCACATTCTCCTTGGAAGCCGGGCCCGGGATGTACACGATGTCGTTGGGCACCCGCTTGAGCGTCTGCCTGCGGTACGATGCAGGCCGGGCGGTTTGGCGACCATTGAGTTCATAGTTGCTCGCGGGTTGGCTGACTGGGGGCGCTTCGGGCCATGAGCAACAGTCATAGTAAAACTTTATATATAGGTTGGCCTTCAATTTGAACACTCTCACAAAGTCTCAATGGTCTCTACCAAGGCCAAGTGACTAACGGAAATACAACATATCCCAATAGGCAGCCTAGAAATTACAGCTAAGGCACGATTCACCTGCAGTCACTGCCAGTGTGAACACTTTCCGCTTCGGGAAGAGAAGCTCAGCTTTCTGCGCGACCATGCTCAAAAGATCCAAGCGCTTTCCAACCGGCACTATAACATTCACGGTCTCGGGGTGCATGTGGTTCTTGATCGCATCGGACATGAAATTGAGCTCTTCCAGGACGTGCTTGACCTTGCTTGTCGGGCTGTCGACGACAGCAATGGTCTTGCTGCCAGCAAAGACATGAAGCTTCAACTCCTCGACCCAATCTCTGCGCTCGAAGTGCACGGTGCACTTGACGAGATCGGCGGTCGCCTCGCGTTCGGCCTGCTCGAGCTGCGGATCAATCTTCGCGGGCGCATCCTGCATCTCGACGTTGACAGAGGTGTCAACATCCTCACCAATCTCAGCGGCCTCTCCGGCCGCAGCAGGCTCCCCTGACACTGGCGGCGAGCTCGAGGTTGACTCTGACACTGTTGCACCTGCTTTCGCCATCTCCTTCAGCTGCTCGGCCATGCGCTTGAGCTCTTCCATGCTGCTGATGGGGACCTAGGCCCAAAAGAGTCTTTGTTTGCCATTACATCGTCATCACACAAGCATG